ATCTCCCCAAAACCCCAAAACCCCAAAACCCCGGATTAAAGTTTGATGATTGATTTATTTTAAATATATCCATAAATTAAGAATATGAATAATTTAACAAAGGAATCACTTGCATTTATTCAGCTGGGCTTTCCTGGAGGAGATCATATCCTTGCTTAGCCAACTTCTCAAGCTCATTTCTGGACTTGAGGGATGGAAGTAATTCAACTGGGTCCATGTCAATGATCATACCAGTGATTCTTGGGGCTTCTTCGGAGTAGAGACTATCGATTATTGGGTAAATCTTTTCTCCGATAAATTGCTTTCTCTCTTCTTCATCCATGCCTGCCATGTCAGCTTCGCTAACAATAGGGGCTGATGGAGTAGTAGCAATAGGTGGTTGGCCAGCCATAGGGGGATTGATAAGGGAAGCGGATTTGGAGTCAGTAGGGGGTTGAGTAGCGATTGGTGGCTGGGAGGCGACTGGAGGGTTACTTGGGAGCATTCCTCCGATCGATCCAGTAGCAGTAGCAATTGGAGGGGTTGTAGTAGTTGGGAGAACTGGGGGAACATTTGCGCCTGGCATTCCACTTCCTGGAAGAGGTGGGTTTGGATAAGCAGCAGGGTTGTAACCTCCTACGCTTTGAGTTGGAGGGGCTGAAGGGTATCCTGAATGAGCTTTATATCCTGGATTATGCGCACTATATCCAGAGTATGAGCCTCTGTTAGATGGTCCTCTTCCTCCTCTGTAGCTTCTTCCTCTACCTCCGTAGCCTCCTCTGGCTTGTGACATTGCGCTCATCATAAAGGTATGGATCATTTTTCTCATCTGTACTCCAACTTCTTCTTTCTTTTCTTTTTCGCTAACTTCCTTTGGCTTATAGTAATCTACAGTGATATTTGTTCCAAACATTTGCTCGATATTTCCTCTGTAGACAGCATCCTTAGCATGATCTGGATTTTCAAAGAATACAAAAGCTCCGCCAAGGAATATTTGCTTGGTTGGATCTTCGGGAGATTTTCCCATTTGCATTTTGATAGAGGTGACTGGTCCAAATCTTTCAAACTCCTCTTTGATGTCTTTCTCGGTTTTATCAGTTGGAATTCCGTAAACACACAAATTTTGCGATAAAGATTTATACAAATGTTGCTCCTTAATCTTCTTGTATACTTTCTTGTTCATCTCAACTCTTTCGCTCTTGGACATGAATTCGTTGACATACAATGGCTCGTCACATCCATCAAGTTGTTTTCCATGAAGAGCTGATAGAGCTGCTTGAGCTTGTTCTCCAGTACTAAAACAGATAAATGCTTGCTTCCTGTCTTGGTAAGGCTTGATAGCAATTGAAGTAATTTCTCCATGCTCAGAGAAGAGTTTAGTCAAGTCCTCTTCAGTGTAATCTTTTGGGAAGTTTCTTACATAAAGATTATTCTTAGCTACCTTCTTCTCCTCTCTATTCTCTTTTCTTTTAAAGATGCACACAGTGATGGTCTTGCCCTTCCAATCAATCTGATCCATGTTTTCAATTGCATTTTTAGCTTCTTCAGAAGTTCTGTATTGAACATATCCGAAACATTTTGAAGTTCCATCTGGGAATGTTTCAAGTTTTACTGAGAGAATTTCCCCAAATTCATTAAACTTCTCGACGAGCTCCTGTTGTGTGATAGATTGATCAAGATCTTTTACATAAACATTTGCTTCTTCTTTCTGATTCTGGCTAGTGCCTGGGTTCCACCAGCTCAAGTTGATTTTTTGTCCCTTCAACTCGACCCCATTGAGAGTGTCAAATGCTTTTTTGGCATCAATCTCAGTTCCAAACTTGATATTACCAAACACGTTGGAAACATCTTTGGAAGAGATATTTACATTGGCAAATATGACAGATAAATCGTGACTGCTAAAGAAGTTGTATACATCCTGCTGGGTAGTTCCTGGTTTCAAATTTCCAATGAAAAGCTGAGAGTTGCCAGTAAGGTCGACTTTCCCAAGCTTATTAGTAATCTGAGATACTTCAGTTTGTTCAGCCATATCGAGCCTATAGTTATAATAATGTTTTAATCAAGCTCCAAACACATTTATGGGGTTTTGGGGTTTTGGGGTTTTGGGGTTTTGGGG